GACAAATTTTTCAGATCTCAATAAGAAACATTTGTTAAATTTTAGGTTATGTTACTTAAATCGTTTATTATTGACAAAAAATTATATTATATCCCATTGTTTGTCGGATTCTTCCTTAATTTGCAAGAAAATATTAAAGAATGTTAGGTATAATGATATATAACGATGCCTGCCACCTTTGCTCATCGGTTTATTTAAATTTTAAATAATTAGTTTGACAGTTTGGAGGTTATGTTCCAGTAATTTACCTCGTGTCAAAAACTAGTCAAGTAATTTACCTTGTATTTTACCGTAAAAAACCACGTAATTTACCTGAGGTATTTTACGCGCCCAACCCTGCCCTTGACTGTGGATGAAGTGTATACACGTCATGAAAAAACTGGCCCAAACAGTGGATGACGTGTATACACGTCATGGCCCGAACAAGAAAACATCTTAACGTATATTCGCAAAAATTTTTACTCGGGGGTTTTTAGGGTCGCTAATCACGATTCTGAAGTCAGATTTTCAAAATAAATAATTTTTCATCCAAAATGGCCGCCAAAAATTTTGAAAAATTTCACAAGTGGATAAATTCTTTTAAAAATTCTTACTCGGGGATTTTTGGGGTCGCTGATCACGATTCTGAAGTCATATTTTCAGAATACATAATTTTTCATCCAAAATGGCTGCCAAAAATTTTGAAAAATTTCAAAAGTTGATAAATTCTTTTAAAAATTTTTACTCGGGGGTTTTTGGGGTCGCTGATCACGATTCTGAAGTAAGATTTTAAAAACAAATAATTTTTCATCCAAAATGGCCGCCAAAAATTTTGAAACATTTCAAAAGTGGATAAATTCTTTTAATAATTCTTACCATTTAAACTTTGAAAAGCTAGTAACAGATTCGTAATCAGCGACCCCAAAAACCCCCGATTAACGAATTCTAAGCGTATCGAATGAATTTTTCAAAATCGTGACCGCTATTTGGAATTCGCCATTTTGAATTTTAAAAAACTAATGTCAGATTCGTAATCAGCGACCACGAAAACCCCCGAGTAACGAATTTTAAGCGAATCCATTGAAGTTTTCAAAATCGTGTCCGCCATTTTGGATCCGCCATTTTGAATTTTAAAAAACTAATGTCAGATTCGTAATCAGCGACCACGAAAATTCCCGAGTAACGATTTTTAAGCGAATCCAATGAATTTTTCAAAATCATGTCCGCCATTTTGGATCCGCCATTTTGAATTTTTGAAAACTAACACCGGAATCGTAATCAGCGACCCCAAAAACCCCTTAGTACCTATTGTCATGAAAATTTATTTACAAGAAGGTCTTACACATTTTGGGACCATTTTGTTATATTTTAGCTACACACTGAAGGGGTTAAGGGGTTACACCACTTTGACCCGTTCAAAACATAAGCTTTTTCAACAATTTTTATTGAAGAATAGAAATTTTTTTAGGAAAATTAAATTACAGTAAAATATATATAAATTCCTTTTTTTTAAATTGTCGGTTTGACAGATGATATGTTAAAGTGCTTTAAAAATGTATCACCATACGGTGGACACTATAACTCGGTCCAAAATTAAGCTAGACCAAAAAGAAAAAATGTTTTATTTTCGGTAGCTCAAAATCTAGCGAAATACGTATCCGTTTTAAAAAAAATTTATTTTTCGCAAAATGGCATCGATTTAAAGGAAAAAGTCCGTATTTTTGCCTAAATTTCATAATTTAAAGTTGTCTAGAAAATTTAAATATTAATATTTCGAAAAATCCGTACGTATTTCGCTAGATAATTATATCACAAACAAAATAAAAAAAGAATTAAGAGAATCGATTGAAAATTGTAGCAGCTAGTGTCCACCGATTTTTAAAATACAGTTTTGAGAAAAACGAGTTTAAAGTTTTCATAACAATGGAAACGTTAGCGCGCGACCCTGCTTGAACAATTCGAAAATTGTCTTTTTACTTAAGATATCGATATATAACTAATGACATATCATTTTGGTGTCCACAAAGAGTATTTTAAGAAAAAAATTTTTTTTTCAATTTTTTGAAAATTTCAAAGTGGTGTAACCCCTTAAGTTGCTATGTTTTCTTCAGGGGTTAAAAATTGGTTTCCAGGGGTAAAAAATCGTTCTTCACTTCTTCTGTTGATTTGGGGATGAAAAAATTCCTCAGGGTATTTTTTGATGAAGTTTGTTTCAGGACTTCTTGTTTTTTGTCAATTCTGTTCTTTGATCCTTCCTTCCTTCCTCTTTTACGGCTACCAGTGGAGACCTTGGAAACATCAGAACAATCGCTGTCCGAATCATCAACTGTTTCAATTTCAACCTCAGTCACTTCGATAAAAATTGAATTCATTTTAACTTCTTCCAAGGTGATTTAGGTGTTATCAACTAAAATCTTTGAACCTTTGATAGTCGAGTATTTTCCTTGTTGTTGTAATATTTGTGTTAAATACAATTGTTAACAGATTTTTTGTTTTTGTGTTTGAGTAAAACAAATGTTCATTTTGTGTTTTAAAACAAATAAATTGTTTGAGAGTTGTAAAATTTGAAATTTTCTATAATAATTTTCAGTTTAAAAACTTGTTTAAACTTGTTAAATAAACTCTAATAATTGCCTGTTGTTATTATTATAAGCCGACTCAAATACAATGGGTCGAAGTGAGCCAGCAATAGAGGGAAAATGCCTCATGCTGATGAAAACAATAGCCAGCCAAAATGGTTGAAGATAAGCCAACTAACACTCGTTTAGTTGATGTCCAAAACCATTGTCCTTTTTCCTTGCTCCACCCACAGTTTTGTTACAGAGTCTAGACATTTTGGAAAAACACCTTTAACCAGGAAGAAGAGAAAGGAGGAGGGAGAGAACAGAAGGAAGAAAAAGAAGAAAGGGACAAAAGAGGCAGAAATTTCTTCAGTTGTTTGCTTGACGTCGTGGAAAGTAGATTTGTCTTAAAATTTCAAATTAAAAGTGAATTTGTAATATTGTTAAATACAATAAAGGATTGTTTAATTTAAGTCTTCGTTTCTTTAGTGTTTAATTTTACTTTGTCCATCCTCCTTAGTACATTTGTTAACAATAATGGTGCCGAAACCCGGGAATTATTTGCCGGAACAGTGAATTGTTTATGTGTTTAGTAAAAGTGAATATCAAGGATTGAAAATGTCGACATCATCATCATTACATGGTCGGACTGGATCAAAAAGCAGCCATACAATTCCATTGAATGATTCAAATCACTCTTCTCATGTAAGCAGTGGGGGTAAGTCAACTTCAAGTAATGCTTCTAATATTTTAACTAGAAAAAGGCGAATGTTTGAAGAAATAGAGCATCAAACAAACGCCAAGATAGCTTATATAGAACAAAAAAAATGTATTTTAGCCGAAAAAGAGCGATTATTAGACGAAAGCTATCAGTTAGAAGTTGAATATAGCAACGAGCGAATTGCTAATCTCAAAGATGTCGATGAGGAAACTCGTTCCTTTATTTCTGGGGTATCTAGAAAAGCTGTAAATGAATTTCCAAAAAATTCAAATATATTGCGGTGGTTAAATGATGAGGGAAATAAAGATACATCTATAGTAGAATCAAATATTAATTTAGGGCAGGCTTCAGGTTCAGGATTAAATTGCACAAAAGATAAAGATGTCCAATATGATTCAAGACATTTAATGAGCAGATTAACGTCAGTTAATACTTTACCAAAGTTTTCGGGTGACGTACTAGAGTGGCTCCGCTTTAAACAAACTTATAATCTGTCGTCGAAATTGGGAGGGTACTCGGAAGAAGAAAACGTTGCGCGACTCTATGAAGCTCTAACTGGAGAGGCTAAAGAAAGTGTCGAATTTCTAACAATAACTGCTACTAATGCCAAAGTTATTATGGACACATTAGAAATGCGTTTTGGTAATAAGGATAAAATTATCCAAAAAATAATATCAGAAATTAAAAAACTACCAATATTGTATTCAGGAAAATCTGATTTGCTCACCTTTGCGGCAAAAATTAAAAATTGTGTAGCGGCTATTGAAACGTTAGATCACACCGGTTACCTATATAGTCCCGAGTTAATTAAAGAAATTATTGGAAAAATGCCATCTGCTTTAATATTTAAATACAATTCATTTGTAGAAACAACTAAAGGTAGTAAACCAAACTTAGTAATTCTATCTGACTTTTTGTATAAGGAAGCTGAACTAGCTAGTTTAGCTGGAACTGTATCAATTAAACAAAAGGATTGTAATCAATCAAAAGAAAAGTTTTCTCAAAAACGTCCCCCTACATCAAACTCGCGACCAGTATTTGTGACAGCAAATCAGGAAGATAAAAAATCTAAGTCAAACAGACAAAAGCAGCATTGTTTGTTTTGCAATCGCGCGGGCCACCATTTACATAACTGTAGAAATTTTGAAAAATTGTCCCTCCAAGAAAGGTGGAAAGTTGTGAAAGTAAATCGCCTCTGTTTCAAATGTCTAGTTTTCGGTCACAGATCCCTGACTTGTAAAGAAAAACCTTGTGGAAAATCGAATTGTACTCGAAACCACCACGCGAAACTACATCGAGACCCTCAATCTAGTAGTAAAAGTATGGACGAATCAAACTTACAAAAAGAACGCGATACTGACCTTAATGACGACTCAACCTGACTATTACCAAAAAAAACCTTACTAAAAATATTACCGATTACATTAATAGGACCAAAAGACAATGTTGAAACTTATGCCATGCTCGATGAAGGTTCCTCAATAACGCTTATAGATGCAGCTATCGCATCGCGTATAGGACTGGATGGTCCTCAAAGCTTATTACAAGTAGGAGGCGTACAAAACATTTAGTTAGCTGAGCCAATTAGTAAAAAAGTATCTTTAAAAATAGAAGGACAGTTCGGACAGTATCAACTACAAAATATAAACACATTAACAAATTTAGCTTTACCATCTCAAACTATAAAACAAACTTTTATTTCTAAATGTCCACATTTAACTGATTTGAATATTAAAGCCATGAATAAAGCCCAACCGACCATTCTTATTGGTCAAGATTACTGGTATTTGATCATTACACGTGAAATTCGCGGCTCGCACCAAAAGTTACCAGTAGCGTCATGTACTTTATTGGGGTGGGTATTACACGGGCCCACAAATTGTATTAACAAACCAAATTCTTCTTCTTTATGTTTAATGGAGTCCAACACACTCATGCCCGAAAAGAAAATAATTGGCGAAATAGAGGTAATAGAGCAAATGATTAAGGATTATTTTTCAATTGATTCGTTAGGTGTACTTGCAATAAATAAAATAAATAAAGGCGAGGAGAAAGCTAAACAAATATTGCAAAAGACCAGTCGTCGCGTCGGAAATTTTTGGGAAACTGGTCTTCTTTGGAAAAACAATGACAGTCAACCTTTCGACGGAAAAATAGTAGCTGAAATACGATTAAAGACTCTAGAAAGAAAATTAGACAGCAATCCTCAATACGCCCTTGAATATTGTAAACAAATGGAAAGAATAATTACAAATTATGCTAAGAGCGTGCCGTCAAAGTTAAAAGCAAAACGTGTTTGGTATGTCCCACATTTCGGTATTAAAAATCCAAATAAACCTGATAAAAATCTTAGAATAGTTTTTGATTGTGCTTCTAAAACACAAGGGATCAGTTATAATGATCAAATGTTAGCCGGTCCAGATTTATTAAAATCATTATTGGGAGTTTTAATGAGGTTTAGACAGCGTCCCATTGGTATTAAAGGCGATATTGTTGACATGTTTCTTAGAATAAAGGTCCGAGAGGAAGATCAGCATGCCCAACGTTTCTTGTGGCGTGAGATGGATAGGAAAAATCCTCCAAAAGAATATATGATGTCTTCCTTGATTTTTGGGTCTAAATTAGCACCTTGTAGTGCTATTTATATAAAAAACAAAAACGCAACAGAATTTGTAGATGTCATGCCTAGTGCAGCCTCAGCAATAATAGATAATTCTTATATGGATGACTTTATCCATAGTGTAGACTCAGACACAGAAGCCATTAACATAATTAACCAAGTTTCCGAAATTAATTCTAATGCTGGGTTTCAAATGCACGAGTGGTCTAGTAATAGTTCGAAAGTTTTAAGCTTCATAAAACAAAATAACGCTGAACAAACCGTTAACCTTACTTTAAATAACCTTAAAAGTAAGGCTGAAAAAGTTCTTGGATTACACTGGGATACGAAGTCTGATACGTTCACCTTCAATTTAGGACTTGATAAAATTCCCTCAAAGTTGCTTAAAGAATCTAAGGCCCCAACAAAACGAGAATTTTTAAAAATTATTATGTCCATTTTTGACCCTTTAGGTTTCCTGTCACCCTTTACAATTAAGTCAAAAATTCTCATGCAAGAAGTTTGGATAAGTGGAATAAGTTGGGATGCACCCTTGCGTAAAGAGGAAAAAGAAATTTGGAACTCGTGGTTAACAGAATTAATGCAAATAAACACTTGTTCAGTACCGCGATGTTACACAAATTCAAACAAAAATTTAAAACGATGCGAACTACATGTGTTTTGCGATGCGGGAAAAAGGGCGTACGCAGCTGTAGCTTATTGGAGATTGGAATTGCAAGAAGGAATTTATACAAATATAATCGCTAGCAAAAGTAGGGTAGCTCCTGTAAAACCACTTTCAATTCCTAGGCTCGAGCTCCAAGCTGCGTTATTAGGTAGTCGACTTGCTCAAACAATAGAAAAGGAGCATAATTTTAAAATTGATGAACGAATCATGTGGTCAGATTCGCGTACAGTAATATTATGGGTAAAATCGAATCCTAGATTTTACAATACGTTTGTGGCCCATAGATTAGGGGAAATTTCTGAATTAACCTCACCTTCTGAATGGAGATGGGTTCCTACAAATGAAAACCCTGCTGATGATGCGACTAAGTATACCAACACCCCTTTAAATTCTAATCAACGATGGTTCTTTGGACCATCTTTTTTGAAAAAAGAAAAACTTGAATGGCCTGATCAAGCCGTTGTAAACACGGACGATATTATTAATTCAGTGAATTGCAAAAAGAAAAATTGTCAGTTTACAGCAATAGTTAGACACAATAATACATGTATTCCTGATGCTCTACGATTTTCGTCTTATAAAAGGTTATTAGGTAGTACTGCGCAGATATTGTTAGCTATAGATAAAATGAAAGGTCACAAAAATCAAACATTGTCTCTGCAACATTTACAAATGGCAGAAAAGTTGATATTAAAAGAATCGCAAAATCTAAGTTTTTCAGACGAAATTCGTGACATTCAACGCTGAATCCCCTTTAAAAAATCTAGCCGTCTAGTCTTGTTAACACCAACTATTGCCCCTGATGGTCTGCTAAAAGTGCAAGGTCGAATTGAAAAAGTTACCAATGCAACCTTTAATAACGAACCAATAATACTAGATGGTAAAAACCCGATTACGAGACTGATACTAAATGACTATCATATAAAAGAAAAACACGGAAGTGTTAATACCGTAATAAATGAGATTCGTCAAAAATATTGGATATTGAATTTAAGAAATTCATTGCGCTCAATTACGACACGTTGTCAATATTGTAAACTAATAAGAGAAACACCAAAAGTACCAATAATGGGGAAATTGCTTTCAGCAAGGTTAGCTTATAAAATACGTCCGTTCTCTTACTGTGGATTAGATTACTTTGGCCCGCTAATGATTACCGCAGGAAGAAGTACTAGAAACTTAAAAAGTAAGCAAAAACGTTGGGTTGCATTGTTCACTTGTCTGACTACTAGAGCAATTCATTTAGAATTAGTAGATAACTTAAGCGCGGACTCTGCTATAATGGCTCTTTCTCGAATGTCAAGTCGGAGAGGTAAACCTCTTGAAATTCACTCCGATAACGGTACGAATTTTAGAGGAGCGGACAAAGAATTGCGACAATTCCTTCACCTGCTTGATTTCGAAGCGCAAAAGGAAGCTGCTACTAGAAAGGGAATCAAGTGGTGTTTTATTCCACCAGGAACACCTCACATGGGAGGTGCCTGGGAGCGCTTGATACGTTCAGTAAAAGTATCGTTAAAAATGATTCTAAAGGAGCAAGCTCCTCGAGACGAGACACTACGAACTCTCCTTACTGAAGTAGAACACTCGGTTAATTCCAGGCCCCTCATTGATGTGTCCTTAGATCCCCGCGATGACGAAGCATTGACACCAAATCATTTCCTAATTGGTGCATCTTCTGGAAATTTAACCTATCGCAGACATGAGCAACAAATAAATTGCCCACGAAAACAATGGGAATTAGCCCAATATTTTGCAGACCATTTTTGGAAGCGCTGGTTAAAACAATACCTTCCTTCTTTACTTCCAAGAAAAAAATGGGTAACAGAGTCTGATTCATTAAAAGTAGGGGATATAGTGTTAATTGCCGACAATCAATCACCCAGAAATATGTGGCTCAAAGGAATAATCGAAAAAACATTTCCAGGGACTGATAACCGAGTGCGGGTAGTGGAAGTTCGTTCCATAAAAGGTAATTTTATAAAGCCCGTTATCAAATTAATAAAATTTACTAGATCTGTAGAAGTACAAGGCTCATAGGCTTGTACGGGGGAAGATATTGTTAAATACAATTGTTAACAGATTTTTTGTTTTTGTGTTTGAGTAAAACAAATGTTCATTTTGTGTTTTAAAACAAATAAATTGTTTGAGAGTTGTAAAATTTGAAATTTTCTATAATAATTTTCAGTTTAAAAACTTGTTTAAACTTGTTAAATAAACTCTAATAATTGCCTGTTGTTATTATTATAAGCCGACTCAAATACAATGGGTCGAAGTGAGCCAGCAATAGAGGGAAAATGCCTCATGCTGATGAAAACAATAGCCAGCCAAAATGGTTGAAGATAAGCCAACTAACACTCGTTTAGTTGATGTCCAAAACCATTGTCCTTTTTCCTTGCTCCACCCACAGTTTTGTTACAGAGTCTAGACATTTTGGAAAAACACCTTTAACCAGGAAGAAGAGAAAGGAGGAGGGAGAGAACAGAAGGAAGAAAAAGAAGAAAGGGACAAAAGAGGCAGAAATTTCTTCAGTTGTTTGCTTGACGTCGTGGAAAGTAGATTTGTCTTAAAATTTCAAATTAAAAGTGAATTTGTAATATTGTTAAATACAATAAAGGATTGTTTAATTTAAGTCTTCGTTTCTTTAGTGTTTAATTTTACTTTGTCCATCCTCCTTAGTACATTTGTTAACAATTTGTTTGTAGTTTAAAAGAATTTTATAATTCTTTCGTTTCTCTTCTCTTTGAATTTTGGACAAATCATTAGAGAATACCAACTTTAGTGCTCCAAAATTTTTTGCATTTTTGAAAATTTCGGACTTTGATTTAAAGTCAGAAAAAGAAATTAAAATTGGTCTTGTTCCCTTCTGTTTTCCAAGTCTTGAAACTGACAGAATATTATTATCATTAATAATCTTTGGCCTTGGAGAATATATCTTTGACTGTAGCGAGTAGATTAGAGGTGTGCATATAATCAAGTCGAATCGAAAATAATTTGACTCGACAACAGAAAATTCGAATCGAAAGTAAATTCGAATTGAAATAGCAATTCGAAGTTTCGAATTTCGAATTGGCTGATTCGAATCGAAAGAAAATTCGAATCGAAATACCAATTCGAAGTTTTGAATTTCGAATTGTACAACTGAACTCGGTTATTTTATTCGCACAATTATTTTGACAGAAATCCTAATTCTTAAAGAATTTTAATTAAAAATTTTTAAAATTTTATTAAAATTGTATTAAAAATAATTGAATTTTTGCAAAGATTTTGTAACGAAATGAGAAAAAAATTGAAATCATTCTTGAAATTTTTTTGAAAAGAATTGAATTTTTGCAAAGATTAAAATCTATTTCTATTTAAGAAAATAGTTAAATTGTTTTGAAGTATTTATTAAAATTTTAGAAAATAATTGTATTTATTCGTAAAATTTTATTAAAATTTTGTTTAAAAATAATTTAATTTTTACGAAGATCGTTATTATTTATGAAAATAATTGAATTGTTGCAAAGAATTGAATTATTTTTAATATTTTCAATATTTCCGAAAATTCAAATACATACACAAACTAATTAAAAACTTTTAATTAAAACAATTAAAATTTTTAAGAATTATAATCATACCTATTTATAAATTAAAATTCCACAGAAAATAATTTTTTCAAATTATACAAAAATTCTTCAATTTTTCTTGAAACATTCAATTATAATTTTTATATAAAAAAATAATTCTTAGAATTGGAAATTGTATTTATTAACCGTAACTATTGGTTACTAAATGAAATGAAATTAAATTTTGAGTAGTCTCAGAACTTTTTTGGTCAAAAATTCGCTGAGTTACGGAATTTCAAAGTTTAGAACGCCAAAAACCTCATTTCGAGAAAAACGGAATTAAAGATTGCGATACCAACCAATTGTTGTATCTCTGGTTCTTCTTGGAAGTTATTCAGATAAGCATTGTTTCCAGTTCAGGGCACCTTGAAGATAAAAACCAACAGGTTTTAAATTTTTAGAACCCCCCCCCCCCTTAATTAACTAATTAATTTAAAAACCGACAATATGGGCCCTTTTCTAAAAAGGACAGTTTTTCTATTAAAAAACCATTTCTTTACAAGATTAATGATTAGGTACAATTTTATTGTGTCATTTGAAGAAAAAGAATATATATTAAACTTATTAAAAAAATTTTTACAGTCTCTATTATGAAAAAATTGACGCAATATCCAAATTTTCATTTCGACAATTACGAAAAAAAGACTCTAAGATCAATATCTCTGGTTCTTTTGGGAAGTTATTCAGATAAGAATTGTTTTCAGTTCAGGACACCTTAGAGAAGAAAAATCAAGAGGTTTTAAATTTTTCCGCACCTCCATTTTTAAAATACGGATTACCTTTGCAAATGACTGACAAAATGGGCCCTTTTCATTTTTCTAAAGAAAAAATGAAATTAAACAGTTAAATTATCGATAAATTAATGAAAACCGCTTGATTCGACTTGCCAAAGCATGTAGATTGATAACAAAAAATAAAAAAAAATTAAGATTTTGCTCAAAAATTACTAAATTGCGATTATCTCGAAAACTAGAACCGACAATATGGGCCCTTTTCATGTAGACGTCCACATATGAAAGTACTTTATGATATATTAATAAAGTTTAACTAATTTTTTTTTTGGATTTTTAATTTTGCAAAAAAACGTTGTTTGCCCATAACTTTAAAAAAATGTTAGGACACCTATAAATGTTTTTCTTTAGTTTTGTAGAGTTTTTTTAGATGCATCTTTTGGTCCCTAATTGAACATTTTTCGTCCATATTAACCGGAGACTTTTTTGAAAATTTTGTTGAAAAACGTAGAAGTAACTTTAAAATTATCGTTACCAAATTGTAGAGCATTAAAAAACGATTCTATTGACCTATTTTTGAACCTAATTCGATAATAAATTTCGAAATCGTTGGTATTTTAAAAGCCAAAAATTTTGGAAAATGACATTTTCTCAACTTTTGTGTTTAAAATTTTTTGTTTAACTATTAAATTATTGTAACTATCTTGTAAAAACTATCTTGATCCAAAATCCAATCACTTTTACCATATTTATAAAAAGTAATTAATATATTTCTATTATTTTTATCTCTATGAGGAAGTACAGTGTTCATGAAATGAGTACCAAAATTATAAAAAAATATACAACTTAGCAGCGGTTTTTAATTATATATTAGCTATTAAATTGTTAAAATAAATAAAAATTTATTTTAAAAATTGAGCAAAAAATTTGCAAAATAATTTTTTTTCCTTATGTACAACAAACAATAAGCGAAATATTTTCTTCACTTTCAACACATTAGGGGCCATCCATAAACCACGTAGCCTCTTGAGGGGGAGGGGGGGGTCAAGCAATTGACTACGACAAGAGGAAAAAATGGCGCTAATACATGTAATAGCGTACTTCATGGGGGGAGGGGGGGGGTCAAAATTACCAAAAAAAGGGGCTACGTGGTTTATGGATGGCCCCATTATTGGTATTTGTATGTTATTTATATATTAAAATTATAGAATAATTAATTGTGCGAATAAAGTAACTGAGTTGAGTTGTAGAATTCGAAACTCCAATTTTCGAATTGGCTAGTTCGATTCGAATTTACTTTCGATTCGAATTGGTAGTTCGATTCGAATTTTCTTTTGATTCGAATCGGTCAATTCGAAATTCGAAACTTCGAATTGGTATTTCGATTCGAATTTTGCACATTCGAAAT